GTTGCCTCTATATCCCGTTGCCACCGTAGTAGGTGTCAAAGGTTGCTGCCCCGTCGCCAACTCAAATGTACTCGTGTTGGTCGACTCGCTGCGGTGCAAGTTGTAGGAGAACTGTGCCGTGTCCATCAACTTCACCCAATCTCGTTGGTTTGCACTTATGTAGTGCCGCAAGTACACCTCCAACAAGGCATTCACCCGCTCTGTCTGTCCGTCGCTTTGAGGATGAAATGTCGTCGAGAAGTTCAAGTCTGATGATGAAGTCCATGCTTACACTCTCCCATGGTCGTTGAGGCGTGGGCAAGGGCTCTAGCAAGCCTGCCGGGCTTCTCTGCTCCATCTTGTCTTGTTGGCACACAAGACAAGTCTTCACATATAACTCTCGCCAAAATCGGCCCGTGAAGCGCCCATCTCTGTCTCTCACGATGTTGCTAGGAACGCCCCAATACTTGACCACATTCTTGAAGAATTGCAGCGCCGCATCCTCTGCCGTCATGTCTTTTGGGCCGGGGATGAACACTCCATACTTCGAGAACATGTCCACAACAACCATGATGTAACCGCATCCATCGACTTTGGGAAGTCCGATGATGAAGTCCATGCTTACACTCTCCCATGGTTGTTGAGGCGTGGGCAAGGGCTCTAACAATCCTGCCAGGCTTCTCTGCTCCATCTTGTCTTGTTGGCACACAAGACAAGTCTTCACATACATCTCCACGTCGTCTCTCATACGCGGCTAGAAGTATGCTTCTTCGATGAGCGCTTGCGTTCTCTCGATGCCGGGATGGCCCGCCCACTTGGAATCATGGCACTCTTTCATGATCTCTTTCCACAAGTTGGCCCACCTTGGCACGAACACACGCTCTCCCTTGGTCATGATGAGCCCATCCTTCATCCAAAACCGTCGAGTCTTGCCTTGCTCGATGTACTCCGCTACGGTTTTGGCGAAGAGGTCATGGCCAAGGCCTTCAAAGATCCGCTCCTTCAAAGGAAACATGGGTTGGCTGATGCTTGCGGCTGCACTCTTGCGGCTAAGAGCATCTGCGACGGAGTTCGCCTTCCCTGGATTGTACTCAATGACGAAATCGAACTCGGCCAAAAAATCATGCCACCTCGCTTGCTTAGGGGTGAGCTTCTTCTGCGTCAGAAAGTAGCTCGTTGCCACGTTGTCCGTCTTCACTACGAACTTTGACCCCAACAAGTAGTGCCTCCATGTGCGCAAGCAATGCACCACGGCCGTCATCTCCTTCTCTTGAACGGTGTATCGCCTCTCCGTCTCGCTAAGCTTCCGACTCTCGAAGGCAATGGGATGCCCATCTTGCATCAACACTCCTCCAATCGCGAAGTCGGATGCATCGGTCTGCACTTCGTAGGCCAACGTCGGGTTGGGGAGCACGAGCACGGGCTCCTTCACCACTGCTTGCTTCAAGGCCTCGAATGCTTCTTGGCACCTTTCCGACCAATCCCACGCCTTGTTCTTCTTCAAGAGATCCGTCAAGGGTGCTGCAATGTTGGAGTAGCCCTTGATAAACCTCCGATAGTAGTTGGCAAGGCCGAGGAATGACCGCAACTCTGGAACCTTCGTCGGCGGCTCCCATTCTTGGATTGCCTCCACCTTTGCTCCATCCATCTTCAACTTGCCTCCACCAATGATGTGCCCCAAGAATGGAACCTCCGTGGCAGTAAATGTGCACTTCTCCCTCTTGACATACAACTCGTTGTCGCGAAGGACTTGGAAGACTTGGCGTAGATGCTCGGCATGCTCGTCGAGTGTTTTGCTATACACGACGATGTCATCCAAGTAGACCAAGACAAACCGGTCCAAGAATGGCTCGAACACTTGATTCATCAAAGTGCAAAACGTGGCTGGTGCGTTGGTGAGACCGAATGGCATCATAAGAAACTCGTAAGAGCCATACCCCGTCACACAAGCCGTCTTTGGCTCATCGCCCTCTGCTATCCGCACTTGATAGTAGCCCGAGCGAAGATCAAGCTTGGTGAACCACATCGCATCTCCAAGCTGGTCGAACAAGTCGGCAATGTGGGGAATCGGCCACTTGTTCTTCACCGTCAACTTGTTGATGGCTCTATAGTCGATGCACATCCGCAACGACCCTTCCTTCTTCTTTTGGAACAGCACCAGTGCTCCAAAAGGTGACTTCGATGGCCGCATGTAGCCTGCGTCCACCAAGTCCTTGAGCTGCCTCCGCAACTCCTCTAACTCCGGTGGCGACATGCGGTATGGTGCTCGCGAAGGGGGCTTCGCTCCTGGCTCTAACTCGATCTTGTGGTCCAGCTCTCTTCTTGGTGGCAGCTTCTTGGGCAACTCTGATGGCATCACGTCGTCGAACTCCTCGAGGACGCCTTCGATGATCGGAGTTGTGATTCCCGTTGAGCCTCCTTCTTCCCCCATTTTCAAGGACACAAGAAAGGTTGGTTCATTCTTCTTGAACCCCTTCAATACCTGCATGGCCGAAAGAGCACTATGGGGGCCATCTTCTCGCAAGAGATGGACCGCATGAAACTCCCCCTCCTTCTCCAAGCACATCGTGTTGGAGTTGGGCTTCAAGAGCACTCCCTCCTTGTCGAGGAAGTTGATGTCGAGGATGACTGGGTGATCGTCCATGGTGACGACGGAAAAGTCGATGAGGCCTTCCCACTCGCCAAGCTTCACTGGCACGTTGTGAGCAACTCCATGGATTGGGATGGACTCCGAGTTGATCGTCTTGAGCCTCCCTTGCCCCTTCTCGTAAGCAATACCCAGCCGGTTTGCCTCCTCGATGCGAAGGAAGTTGTCCGTGGCACCGGTATCCACCAAGGCTTTTGACTCGCCTTGCATGAATTGCGCCAGAACATAGCACCTCCCACGCTTGCTCTCCTTGACGTCGGTCTTCACCGCGCCAAGCTTGCGGATTGAGCCAATCTTGGCCTCCGCCGCCTTGGGCTCCTCTTCTTGAGCTTCCATGGCCGCCAATCTCGCCTTTCTTGGGCAATCCCGCACTCGATGTGGTCCGTCGCAAAGGAAGCAAGACATGGGTTTTGGCTCGTACTTACCCCCTTTGCTCGAACCACCTTGGTGTTGTTGAGTGCGAGCACCCTCCTTGAAAGGCTTCTGCTGCTCTCCACCCTTGTTGGGCTTCGAACTCTTCTCTTTGCCGCTGCTCTCTTGCCTTTTGTACTCAACAAAAGACTCCGCCGTGGCCATGGAAGTTGCAAGGTCTTGCAATCCTCGACGTTGCATCTCCATCTTGGCCCATGGTTGCAGCCCATCAAGAAAGCCGTGCATGGCCTCCTTGTCCATGATGTCCGGGATCTCTAGAAGCAGCTCCGAGAATTCTTTCACATATTCTCGAACTCCACCCCTCTGGGTGAGTCTTCTCAACTTCGAACGGGCTTCAAACTCCACGTTCTCCGGGTAGAACTGCTTCTTGATTTCTCTCTTGAAATCTTCCCACGTTACCATCACACAAGTACCTCTTTCGACGTCCGCTACACGTCGCCTCCACCACACCATGGCAACATCAACCAAGTAGAGTGGAGCGGTACGAAGTTTTACCTCATCCTCTTGGATGCCGGATGCCTTGAAGTATTGCTCAAGACTCCAAAGGAAGTTCTCTAACTCCCTCGCGTTCCTTGAACCTCCAAAGTTCTTCGGTCTTGGAACATCAGCACGTGGGACGGATTGCACCGGGGCTGATCCGCTAGCCATGGCTCTCTTCACGAGAGTGACCTCACTCTTGAGGTCTGCAATCTCCTCCTTCACGCCGACCAGCTCAGCCTGGACATGCTCTTTTACAACTTCAATGGCGTTGTTCATGGAGGCGGTGATGGTGTTGTTGATGAGAGCCACGAGCTCCTCCCGTATCCCATCATGGTTGATCTCCAAGGTTGTCAACCTACCGGCCATTCCTTGAACATCGCTTTGGACTTGGGCGACGTTACCACCCAAATCCTCGATGACAGTGATATCTTCCGCAATCTTCACTTCCACTCGAGCGACACGCCTCTCTAGCGCCGCCATAGGATCACGAGTGCTTGACTTGTCACCCTTTGGCTTGGGATTCTTGGTGTGATCCCTTCCACGCTTCTCGTGCTCGGTAACGCCGCTATCTGATCCCGACATTTTTGGTGAGGTTCTTCCTTTCCTTCTGGCTCTAGGTTCAACTTTGCTAGCACAAAGCCGAAGCAGGCTCTGATACCACTTGTCACGACCTTACTCTCGATCGTGCGGCCCTAGCTCTCAAATCCGTTAGAGCGCTAGGCAGCCTTTCTCTCAACTCACTTGAAAGCAAAGAACAAGAACAAAGACAAAGGAATTGGGGAGAACTCTCTAGTGTGTATTACTCTCCAAAAATGATGGAATGAGTTACAGGTGAGGGAGATGGCTCCTTATATAGGCCTCTCCTCATACAAGGCATCAATGCCCCTCATAATGGTCCCTCTACTACATCAATACACCCCATAAAGTCCCCCCATAATGCACTCTAATAATGCTACCTCATAATGTAGCCCATAAGTGCACCATTAAGCTCTCATTTAGGTGGAGAATCCTAGGAGCATCTCTATGCTACTAGTCTTCCATACATGCCACATGTGCAGCCGCCTTGTTGTCACCTTGTTGGCGCCATGTCATCTGCCACATGTGACAAGAACCAGGGGAAGCCGGCTCTACACTATTCCGTCAGCCAAACAGATCCCATACTTGTGGCTAAGAGGAAAACGAGGATTCAGGAAAAGATATTATTTTGGATTTTATTACATTTATTATGAGTATTTAATAGAGGGAAAAATCTAGCTCACAAGCCACAAGTCGAACCCTTCTATAACTGTTGCAGACACATTACCCCATTCCATTTCCCATCATTAGTCTCCTCCAAGTCGCCAATAATGCAAGAGCTAGATGCATAATTCATCCATTTATCTGTTTGTGTTCCCGTAGGTTGAGATGACTCCTCCTTTTGCAAATGTTGGTAGGACGTAATTTGGTAGTGATAATTACCTATTCCAAGTCAAAGCCCCTTCTCCCCTCAAAGAAAGCCGAGCATTGTAGATTTAGAACATGGCATCCATTTCAGCGAACTCTGAAGCTGATCGACTGGCGCAGCTAAAGGCCTTCGACGCAACGAAAGCCGGTGTGAAAGGGCTGGCAGATGCTGGAGTGAAAGAAATCCCTCCCATATTCTACACGCCGCCTGATATCATGGACAGCAACAAATCAAGTGACGGGAAGTTCACCTTCCCCATCATCGACCTCCAAGGCACGGCCACAGATCCTGCCAAGCGGAAGGAGATCGTCGAGAAAGTTCGAGATGCTTCCTCCACCTGGGGGTTTTTCCAGGTCCTTAACCATGGAATTCCACTCAACGTACTGGAGGAGATGATAGCCGGAGTGAAGAGGTTCTACGAGCAAGATCTCGACGAGAAGACCAAGTTCTTCACACGTGACTACAGTACTAGAAAGGTTGCTTACAACAGCAATTATGACTTGTACACCGCGCCGGTCACTAATTGGAGAGACACCACCCTCTTCTACATGGCTCCGGATCCACCCAAGCCCGACGAACTCCCTGTTGCTAACAGGTATGATACAATCGTTCGATAGTGATATAAGATTCAATCGACGGTAGAAGAAGAAAAAAAAAGACGTATGCTTCCAGTCGTTGCTAGATAGTCCAGGTGGTAAGACATGATGCTAGTTACGATTTACTGCGAACATTTTGAGCAACAACTTCAAACTATATACAGGGAAATCCTGATGGAGTATTCCAAGAAGATGGTTAAGATGGGCTACCTGATCTCTGAGCTGCTCTCGGAGGCTCTAGGACTTGACCCAAATTACCTGAGAAATAAGGAGTGCTTGATGGGACATTACTTTGTTTGTCATTATTACCCACCTTGTCCTCAGCCTGATCGTACTTTGGGGTCAAGCAAGCACACAGACACCGATTTCATGACCATACTCCTACAAGATCATGTTGGGGGGCTCCAAGTACTCCATCAGGATCAGTGGGTGGACATAACTCCACTGCCAGGATCCCTTGTAATCAACATCGGAGATTTGCTTCAGGTAACACTCTTTCTTGTGTTTCGATACATACTGGTTGTCGTCAGGAAATCCCATGCGCTCATGTTACATATGCTGTTGATTTTTCAGCTCATGTCCAATGATAAGTTCAAGAGCGTGAAGCATAGGGTGCTAGCAAATCGTAGCAACGGACCAAGGATATCGGCGGCGTGCTTTTTTAGCACCGGCCTTTTGCCAAACCCAGCAAAGTATGAACCCATTGAGGAGCTGCTATCTGAAGAGAATCCTCCCAAATACAGAGCGACCACAATTTCAGAGTATTTGATGTCTGCAAAGACCAGCAAAGGAGTCGATGGGGAGTCTCTTCTTCATGAGTATGTACACCTTGACACAACAAGGAAATGATATGGGGATCCAGTGTGACAATGTAACCGAGTTGCAGCTGAAATTTATACCTGGTCCCTTAAATAATGAAGTTTAATAAATAAATAAATAATTTTGTACCCAATGGACCATTTATTGGGTTAATTGCATATGTAGGATGTCACTTGTGTATAGTGAACCTTTTTAAGTTGTATTACGCTATTGTAACCACTTTGAATAAATATTCGTGGTCTCCTGTGTATTAGTTAGCAATCATTGATTTAATAATTGCATAATATCTGTATGATTTAGAACTCTTGTTCTCCTATTATCACAAAATCATCCCTTTTTAATTTGATGTGTATTTGATGTTTAGGGGAATTCAATTGATAAATCAAACAGTTTTTTTTATTTATTTAAAATTTAAAATATTTTCTAAATGATTTTGAAATTCTAAAAGTAGTGTTATGTTAAAATGGTTGTATAAAACCTCATATGTATTAAAACTGCAACATCACAAATTTTTTAAAGAAGACCACAAGTTATTTAAAGCAGGCCAGAAGCCACATATAACATTACAAAAAGTTCATTAAAGAATACCACAAATTTATTAAAACGGACCATAAGTTCTTTGAAACATACCAGAATCTAACAAAGCATATCCCAACTTTCGTAAAGTAAACCAGAAACCTCATAAGTAGATCACAAGTTCCATGAAACAAACGAGAAACCGCCTTTCTCTACAGCGGTGATGCAATCACCGCCTTCCTCTGCAACGGTGATGCAATCACCGCTCTTCTCTCCTGCGGTGATGCAATCACCGCTTTTCTCTGCCGCGGTGAAGGCCCAAACATGCGTAGATTGAGAATTTTTTTCATAACGTGTGTATTTTGAGAAATTCTTTTAAAAACATATGTATTTTGATATTTTTCCCCATCAAATTGTGCATGCGTTCTAAGCCATATCTCTTCATGTACTAGATACCATAGGCGTCCGATACCATAGGCGTCCGTCCAAATGCATATTATCATCCTTCTTTAGCAATGTGGATCTTAACGATTCAAATTCGACCCTCAAACTCATTAGGAACTGAAGCAATCAATTATGTTGTCATTCTTTTACAACGTCTACCAACACGGCTTCCGGACGAAGTAAGGCTTGTAACAAGTCTTGTTCCATCCAGGGCTCTTGAGAAGCATTAAAATACGATGTGATCAAACGATCACCTTGCTCCTAGCCCTCCAACGACATCAGAACTTCGAATTATTGCGCAACATTCACAGTCGAGTATGTAGAAGCAAGATACTTCCACATACTCAAATAGATATAGAAGAAGAATGGGCAAATACAATATTATATCCATAACTATTATGTATCGGGGATTTATATCCGCAACTATCAATATACAAACTATTATCCAATCGTTAATTGTCCGTTAATACCCCGTTAGAATGTCTTTCTGCAACGCTGACCTGGCAAAAAAAGCTGAGGTGGAAGGGAGACGTGGCATCCCATGTGGAATTGATTAAATAATAATAAATAACATAAAACTTAAAAAATAAAACAAATATCCTCCCCTCCTCTCACAACCACTCACCCGATTCTTATCCTAAACCCCTTCTTCTCTCATCTGTCCATCCCATCCCCCCTTCGTCTACGAAGACCCGAAGTCGCCGACGAGCCACTCACCGTCTTGCAGGCGTGGCGGCGAGACTGCCACCGCCTGAGTCCCCACGCCCCCACTTCATCCAACGAAATCGCTAGTTTTACCGCGCCAGAGGAAGTGTAATCGACGCGGCAGAGGAGACTGACGATTCGCGAGGCTTCCATCGCCTGATTCCGTCGAATCGATCCGGAGCGGTCAACGACTTTGGGTAGACTGATCGAAGCCAGACTGGACGATTCCCGGGACGAAGGTAAGGTGATTCTGGTTTGTTCCGTCAAAAGCTTACAGTATTGAAAGATTAGGTTTTCAGTACCGATTCTCCAATTCGAACAATACCCATTCTGTTGGCTTAGGGTTGTGTCGATTCCAGCACCCATTCTGTTGGCTTAGGGTTGTGTCGATTCCATCCATGCCCATGTTGTCCGCTATTTATAGTTTCCTCCTTTGAAAACGTTCGTGCAAGTTGGTGTGAGGACCACAGTGGGACCTTTTCAAATTGTTCACGAAATTGCCCTTGTATCAATGTGAAAGAAATTGGAATTGGTGGATAGAATGGTCAATTGCAGTGGGTTGGAGGTCTAATTTCCCCATCTTTTGATAACCAGCACATGTGAACGAGAATATTTTATGGTTGTTGTTGTGTCAATTTGTTGTCAAGCAATATAACAACCTGTATAATACTTGACCATGCAGATGACAGAATACATGGGGATTGACTACCATCACGGAGGCGAGATGGACTTCTCTGGTGATGAACCACGATATGTGGGGGGTGATTTAGAAAAATTCACCGTCGATGTTGATCAAATGTCCTACTTTGGACTTGTGGCATTGGCTACAGTGCACTTGCACTATGAAGGCGTCCGGAAGATTTGGTACTTGACCCCGGGATCCACGATGTCTGATGGCCTGCATGAAGTTAAATCTGATAAGGAGGTGATGGAGGGGCTGCTTGTTGATTTAGACGATTCTAAGGTGGTTACTGTGTATGCTGAGGTAATTGAGAAGGGAGATGGACTCATGGGAGACAACGAGGAGGCAGACAACATTGTTGAGGCACATGTGGTGGGAGAGTGTTCAGCTGCTAGGGAGATCTTTAATGTAGATGATTCTGACGTGGAAGAGGGATCTGAGGCAGAGGGGGCTGATATTGGTTCTGGTGAAGAGGGATCGAAGGAAGAGGGGGCTGATAGTGGTTCTGATGAAGAGGGATCAGAGGAAGATGGGGCTGATAGTGGTTCTGATGAAGAGGCAAACCAATCTCGTGCTGCTGTGGGATCAGATGAGGAGGATGAGTCTGACGAAGACTTCGATCCGGATGAAGCATCAACACCTACACACAGAAGTCAGCATGTATTAGATGATGAAGAACCCGAGGACATGATGGACAATCTTCCATTTTATGATCCATTGTGTGATCACAAACAGTTGGAGTTCCATGTGGGACTTAAGTTTCTAACTGTTGAGAGTTTCAAGAAAGCTGTCGCCAAACATGGGGTTGCTGTCGGGGCAGTGTGTGTTGCAATCGGAGTGAACCGAGTCGAGTGGAGTTCCGTTGTAAAGATGCTGCTTGTAAATGGAGGGTCTACGGTGCATGGTGGGCAGACATGTCGTATTTCATGGTGAGAAGGGTTGGATTGCCTCACTCTTGTACTAGGTCGACACGAGTGAACCTAGCTACGGCTCGTTTCATTGCCGAACACTTTCTTGACCGTTTCAGAAGCAATCCCGATTGGAAGGGTCCTCAAATTGCAATGGAGGTCAAAAGAGATTTGGGTGTCGACGTTGAGGTAAGGACATGTTATGGCGCTAAGGCCATTGCTAAGGAGATGATGAATGGTACACTTGTACAAGAGTACCACAAACTAAGGGATTATGTGGCTGCTCTAATGGCAGCAGATGAAGAAGGGAGGTTTTTTCTCGAGGTTGATCCAGATCCTGTATTAGATGACAAGGTGTATTTCAAGCGGATCTACATCGGGTTCTCTAGTCTTAGAAAAGCTGTGTTGGCTGGTTGTCGCCCCATTTTCTCTCTCGATGGTGCCTTTTTGAAAGGCGAAGTGTCTGGGATGTTAATTACCGCTGTGGCCAAGGATGGAAACAGCCATATAATTCCATTCGCGTGGGCCGTCGTTGAGGGGGAAAATAGGAGTTCTTGGACTTGGTTCCTGAACACTCTCCAAGAAGAGTTAGGATTCGGTGATGGAAATGGTTGGAGTGTAATTTCAGACCAACAAAAGGTGAGTGATGATTTCTGTACATAATCTTTTTTCATTCCAATATCATATTTTCTGCATTCTAATATTACTACATAATTTCAGGGACTAGTTGAAGCAATTCATGAAGTCATGCCATTTGCAGAACATAGGAAGTGCGCCCGTCACGTCTTTGCTAATTGGAAGACTAAGGTGAAGAACGAGCATATGAGAGGAGTGTACTGGGAGGCTGTTTATGCGACTAATGAGGTTGATTTTCGAGCTGCCACCCAAAAAATGGAAGTGTTCCAAGGTACGCAATCGCAAATGACACCCTACACTGACTTTATGGAACAAGATCCAAAAACGTTCTGCCGTGCTTTCCAATCTAGAGTGCCCAAATCAGATTCAGTGGAGTCAAATATTTGTGAAAGTTGTAACAATGTGGTTGTTAAGTACGGAGAATATAGGATAATTGAGATATTAGAGGGTATCAGAACTCATATTATGGTGATGATGAGGAAGAAGCGCAAGAAGTTTGACAGGATGCATGGTTTGATTTGCCCACGTCCTATGAGTGAGATAATGAAAGGATGAAGATGCAAGGAAGTGTGTTTCTCTAGCTAGCAGCGAGCACATGGTAGAGGTGAAACTTGGGAATTCAGCCTTTGTTGTCGATTTGAAGAATCGTACATGTACATGTGGTGCTTGGGACCCTTAAGTCTGAACTTGGGAATTCAGACTCTCATATGCCATATAATCCTTGACTCCTTTACATGATATTCTGAACTTTGAACCCTTAAGTCTGCTTTCCTTATGTAGAAATCAAGAAATGGGAACCTTCACAGGAACTTGGTGGTGGATGGAGAAGTTAGACAGGCTCTAGGGGTTGATTGCATCTATGAGAATCTTGCAACTGGATCGGGAGATGGAGCTGGTAATTCTGCAGAGGGAGTTGGAACTCAGCCAACTCAGATTGATACAACGGGAGCTCCTTCAACTCAACCTGAGTCTCAACCGCAATATATTGCTTGAAGACGTGTGTGTGTGGACTGTTTCCTTGTTATGTTTTAGCTTTTATCTATGGTAGAACAGTATGTTAATAGGCAGGAGGTTTGCAACATATTGCTTGTAAGGTGATTCTGGTTTGGTTCACCACATTTTGCATTTTGTACAAGCTCAATTCATCTTGTCCCAAACACTACGCAAGTATCTAGCGTTATGGAACAATTTCAATCGAGCTTTGTAAGGTGATTCCAGTTGGTTCACCACATTTTGCATACTGTACAGACTCGCTTCATTTTGTCCAAAATAGTGCAGATGTGATGCTGTCAACTTCTTTTGAAATGATTTAGTTTTGGTACAAAGTGTTCTAGAAGTGCTCA